CGTTTCCCAGGCTGGTCTTGAACCCCTGGCCTCAAGTGATCCTCCTTTCTTAGCCTCCCAAAGTGATGGGATTATAGGCATAAGCCACTGCGCCCAGCTCTCCATTAATTGATTCTTGTATGCTGAACAAACCTTCCATTCCAGGAACAAATCCCACTTGATCGTGGCATATAATCCTTTTCATATGCTGAATTTGATTTGCTAGTATTTTGTTGAGGATTTTTGCATCCGTATTCATCGGAGATAATGGTCTGAAGTTTTCTTTTTTTGGGTTGTCTTTGTCTGGCTTTGGAATCAGGGTAAAGCTGGCCTCATGGAATGAGCTTGGAACTGTTCCCTCCTCTTCATTTTCTTGGAAGAGTTTCAGGAGGATTGGCGATAATTCTTCTTTAAATGTTTGGTAGCATTCTCCGATGAAGCCATCTGGTCCTGGGCTTTTCTGTGTTGGGAGGTTGTTGATTACTGATTCTATCTCTCATTATTGATCTGATCAGACTTTCCATTTCTTCATGATTCAATCTTGGTAGGTTGTGTGTTTCCTCTAGGAATTGATCCATTTCTTCTAGGTTATCAAATTTATAGGCATACAATTCTTCATACTATTCTCTTATAATCCTTTTTCTCTCTGTAGTATTGGTAGTAGTGTTCCCTCTTTCATTTCTGATTTTAGTTATTGAATGTTCTCTTTTTTCCCTTAATCTCGCTAAGGATTTGTCAGTTTGGTTGATCTTTTCAAATAACCAACTCTTAGTTTTGTTGGTTGTATTTGTTTATCGCTGCTCTGATTTTTATTATTGCCATTTTTATGCTGGTTTTGGGCTTGGTTCTTTTCAAGTTGAAATAAAAGGATGGGGCCGGGTGCGGTGGCTCATGCCTGTAAATCCCAACACTTTGGGAGGCCGAGGTGGGCAGATCACAAGGTCAGGAGTTCGAGACCAGCCTGGCCAACATGATGAAACCCCATCTCTACTAAAAATACAAAATTAACCAGGTGTGGTGGCACACACCTGTAATCCTAGCTACTCAGGAGGCTGAGGCAGGAGAATCACTTTAGCCCGGGAGGTGGAGGTTACAGTGAGCCGAGATCATGCCATGGCACTCCAGCCTGGGCAAAAAGAGTGAAACTCCATCTCAAAGAAAAAAAAAAGAAAAAGAAAAAGAAAAAACAATAAAATAAAACATAAAATAAAAGAATGATAGACAGCAACACAAAGCCATATGAAAATATATGGTTATCTGGTAAGGGTGAATATTAACAAATATAGTAACCTGTACTGTAGTAATTTTGGTGCATAGAATTTAAATGAAAAAACTTTTTTTAATATAAATCTTTGTTAATGAGTATAAAAACATATGAAGATATAATTTGTGGTATTTGGGGATGGGGTGAAAGTAGAGTTTTTGTATGCAATTGAAGTGAAGTTGTTATCAGTTTAAAATAGGATGCTACAACTTTAAGATGTTTTACGTAATTGCAATAGTATCCACAAAGAAAAAATCCGTAAGAACACACACAAAAGAAAATCAAAGCACATCACTATAAAAAATCAACAAAACATAAAGGAAGACAGGAAGAAAGGAAAGAAGGGACAAAACTACAAGACATACAGAATACAATGAAGAAAATGACAAAAGTAAATCCTTCCCTATCTGTAATTACTTTAAGTGCAAATGAATTAAACTCCACATTCTTGGCTAAATGGATTAAAAACAGGATCTAACTGTATGCGGTCTACAGGAGACTCATTTTAGATATAAAGACACATATAGGCTGAAAGTAAAAAGATGGAAAAAGATACTCCATGCAAATGGTAAGCACAAGGGAGGAGTAACTATACTAATATCAGATGAATAGACTAAAAACAAAACTGTTACAAGAGACAAAGAGGGACATTATATAATATTGAAGGAACAATTCACTAAGGAGATATAACAATTATAAATATGTACACAGCAAACCTTAGAGTTCCTAAATATATGAAGTCAACTTTGAAAGAACTGAAGGGAGAAATAATTAGCAACATGATATCAGTAGGAAACTTAAGTGCCTCACTTTCAATAATGGATAAAACTACCAGATAGAAGAACAATAAGGAAATAGAATTGGAACAACACTATAGACCAACAGACATACGAGAACATTCCACCCAACAACGGCAGAATATATGTTCTTCTCAAGTGCACGTGGAACTCTCTAGGAGAGATAACATACAAAACAAATCTTAACAAATTCAAGAAGATTGAAATCATACAAAGTATCTTTTCTGATCACAATGGAATGAAACCAGAAATCAACAGCACAAGGAAAATTAGAGAATTTAGCATTTTTTGTAGAGCATGTCAAGTGGTAATAAAGTCCCTCAGTTTTTATCTGGGAATCCTAATTTCTCCTTTATGTTTGAAGGACAGTTTTACCACACATGGTATCCTTGGATGGCAGTTTCTTTCAGCACTTCAAATATATCATCCCATTCCCTTCTGGCCTGCAAAGTTTCTGCTAAGAAATCTGCAAATAGTGTTATGGAAGCTCCTTTGTATGTCACAATTGCTTTTCTCTTGCCACTTTGAAGGTACTCTCTCTTTGACTTTAGGCAGTTTGATTATAATGTGTGTCAGTGTGGTTTTCTGTGGATTTGTCCCAGTTGGAGTTCTTTAAAATTTTTGATTTGTATGTACATTTCATTCGTCATATTTGGGAATTTTTCAGCTATTCTTCAAATAAGGTCTCTGCCCCTTTGTTCCCTTTTTTCTTTCTGGGATTCCCATTATGCTTATGTTGATCTACTTGGCATGTCTCTGGGAGGCCCATTATGCTTATATTGATCTGCTTGGCAAGTCTCATAGGTCCCTAGTCTCTCTTCACTGTATTTATTTATTTTAATCCTCTGACTTGAAGACTTCAAATGACCTGTATTCAAATTTGCTGGTCCTTTCCTCTGCCTGGTCGAGTCTGTTGTTGAACTCCTCTAACAAATTTTTCTGTTCAGTTGTATTTTTCAGCTCCAGAATTTGTTAGGTTCTTTTTTATAGTTTCTGTCTCTTTGTTGATACTCTCATTTTGTTCATGCATAATTTGTCCAACTTTATTTAGTTGTCTATCTGTGTTCTTGTTTAGCTCAGTACAAGAACTCTATTGGGTGAAGAATGTTCTCCTTGCTCTTAAAAAAAGGTACAAGGGAGAGTGACGTTAGCGAGATGACAGACGAGGAAGCCACAGGTCTCTTTCCCCCTCACAGACACCTCAGATTAACAAGAGATAGACCAGAATGCTTCTGTGAGGACTCTAAAGTCAGCTGAGAAGCTATAATATGAAGTCCACTGTAAACTAAGAAGGAATTCCAGGCTGGGGCCGTGGTTCACGCCTGTAATTCCAGCACTTTGGGAGGCCAAAGTGGGCAATTGCCTAAGCCCCAGAGTTCGAGATCAGCCTCGGCAACATAGTAGGGACTATTTTTAGTCCTTACTAAAAATACTCATTGAGCGTCTTTACAGTTATTTTTAATTATTGGTCAGGGAGCATGTAGATCTGTATTCTTTAGAGTCAGTTTTTGGGAGTTTTATTTTGGTCCCTTGATTGGGTCATGTTCCTCTGTTTCTTTGTATGCCTAGTAAATTTTTTTGTTGGGATTTGGGCGTTTGAAAAAACAACCACCTCTCAGGGTTTCTGTGTACTGGCTTTGGGCAGTGGAATACCTGAAATCAGCCTAGCTAGAGGTTCTAGGACCTCTCAAAACCGTTCTAATCTCTTGATCCCTCTGCTGTCTGACTGTAGAACTGCATTTCTTGAGTGCTGCTTGCCTCTGCTTTCAGCAGCTTCTGAACTCTGATGCTGATCCTGTCAGTGCTCTGAGTCAGTGACACAAAAACCAGTTTTTCTGGCACCTTCCAGACAAGCCAAAATGTTGTATGCATAATCCAGTCTTTGTTTCTATCCCAAAGGAGGAGCCCAGCCTTTAGGGTTTCCTCCCCTTTGCTCTTCAGTATGCCATGTAGGGGGTGGGGCCTTGAAAACACTGTGAATGTTCTTACCTTTTTTGCTGGAAATGTATATATATACACACACACACACATATACATATATATATATATATATATATATTCAGGAAACCAACTAGTAAATTATGATAAGTACACTGGACAACATCATGTGAAGACGTTATATATATCTATATCTATATATGGGGGGTGTGTGTGTGTGTGTGTGTGTGTGTGTAGTTGTTGTTGTTGTTGTTGTTGTTTTTAGACAGGGTCTTGCTCTGTAGCCCAGGCTGGATGCAGAGGTGTGTGATCATGGTTCACGGTAGCTTTGGCCTCCCTGACTCAAGCAGTCCTACCTCAGCCTCCCCAGGAGCTAGGACTACAGGCATGCACCACTATGCCTGGCTAATTTTGTATTTTTAGTAGGGACGGTGTTTCACTATGTTGCCAAGGCTGGTCTCGAACTCTGGCGCTTAGGCAATTGCCCACCTTGGCCTCCCAAAGTGCTGGAATTACAGGCGTGAGCCACAGTGCCCAGCCTGGAATGCCTTCTTAGTTTACAGTGGACTTCATATTATAGCTTCTCAGCTGATCTTTAGAGCCCTCACAGAAGCATTCTGGTCTATCTCTTGTTAATTTGAGGTGTCTGTGAGGGGGAAAGAGACCTGTGGCTTCCTCGTCTGTCATCTCGCTAACGTCACTCTCCCTTGTACCTTTTTTTAAGAGCAAGGAGAACATTCTTCACCCAATAGAGTTCTTGTAATACCCTCATTGGCCAGATCAGCCTCATGGATCCACTTCCAACCAGTTACTACAAGGGAGTAGAATTACCATGGTTTGGCTTATGTTAATCAAAATTCATGAACTGGGGTCGGTAAGGGACCTGACCTCTCCTAAATCCCATCGTCACTTGGTACCTGAACAAATGTCTTCCATTTGTAAGAAAAAAGCAAGGTAATGGTTTTTGGGAGACAACCATTATACCTATCTTAAAGTGTTCACTTGTTGCTTGTCTCTTTTAGAGCCGAAGAGATTCCTCTGAAAATCTTGGCCCACAATGGCTTGGTTGGAAGACTGATTGGAAAAGAAGGCAGAAATTTGAAGAAAATTGAACATGAAACAGGGACCAAGATAACAATCTCATCGTAAGCCACTTATTCAGATTAATCATGCCCAATAATGGAACACCTGAGCATTTTGATAGGTCCAGTTCATTCATCTACTTTTCCCAAAATGGGAATATAATCATAAGTGATACAATTATCTCCATCATCATTTTTTAAAAAAATATGTAAATACTTACCAGGTAGACATTTTTCACTATGGATGTTATCTAAATCACGAGTAAGATTTGAAATAGGACAGCAGGGGTTCTACACCACAGTGTGTTGTGAGAGAATTGAGTCTTCTCCCTCTTCGCCAAAACTTGTTTGTGATTTTCCTTTTTTTTTTTTTTTTTTTTGGCATTTTATTTTTCCTGTTGAAAACAAAATTTGTCTTTTCTTCTTACGGGTCAGTTTGCAGGATTTGAGCATATACAACCCGGAAAGAACCATCACTGTGAAGGGCACAGTTGAGGCCTGTGCCAGTGCTGAGATAGAGATTATGAAGAAGCTGCGTGAGGCCTTTGAAAATGATATGCTGGCTGTTAATGTAAGTCCCTAATGCTTTCTTCTCTGCTGGTTTTCACATGTGTTTTCAGGTAGTGCTCAAGGCTCTCTTAAGAATAATTGTCATTCAGCTAATCAGGAAGTGCCTTAGGATAGGTATGCAGAATTTTTCCTGACTTCCTAGGATAAAGGCATTAAAATCATCAGGAAACCAACTAATAAATTATGATAAGTGCAGGGGACAACATCATGTGAAGACATTAAAATTATAACTTTGAAGACTGACATAAGGAAAAGCTTATGATGTAATGTTCATTAAGAAAAGCAAGAATGACTCTGTGTGGTGGCATGCATCTGTAGTCCCAGCTACTCAAGAGGCTGAGGCAGGAGGAGCACTTGAATCTTGGGGGTTGAGGCTGCAGTGAGTGGGCATTACGCCTCTGGACTCCAGCCTGGGCAACAGAGTGAGACCCCATCTCTAAAGAAATAAATAAGAAAAGCAAGATATAAATGTATGTAACTAAAGTTACAATTATGTAAAATAACATGGATCAGAATGACTGGAAGGCTACATACAAAAATGAAAATAGCTGGCATGTTAGAAAAGTGGGATTTTTTTCCATGTATGTAGCCTTCTGAACCTTATGTAATATTGTCCTGTTCCTTTTTAAATTTTAAAAACGCATGCTTTAAAGTTCTTCTGATTTTCCTCCCTTGCTTGCTGATCCGCACTTTTAGATTGTCTGATAAATGTTGTCAACCACTTGAGCCTTTACTGTGTATTTGTAGCAGACTCAATTAGGTTTGTCCTTCCTGTGATTGCTACCTAATTTTTATTCTTAATGGGGAGACGCCGATCTGGCATTCAAAAAAAAAAAAAATCCTTTAAAATATTTGGCCATCAGCAAAAGTCCAGCTCAGCTCAGAGGAGTAAATTTTTTCACTTTTTAATTAGATTTTTCGGACATATACAGAAGTGAAAAGGGTGCTGCAATAAGCCCTCATATACCCATAATCCACCTTTTGCAGTTATCAACTCACCGTCTGTTTTGTTTCCTCTGAATCCTCATCCACATCCACTGTTCATACCTGTTGGATGACCTTGAAGCAAATCTCAGACCTGATAATATTTCCTAGAGAAATAAATGTGGACAAAGCACTCTATAGGTTAAGCCCAAGTCCCTCACTGCAGCACTTTCTGCTGTACCCTCTACTGCAGCCCAGAATCTGTCCCCATCTCACCCCAACCCCCACCTTAGCAGCCCACATCACGTGATAATTATGGGGCGTGATGAGAAGAGCTAGAGCAGGAGACTGCAGTGTGGTCTTCTCCCCATGTTTGGATATATTTGTGGAAGTATCATCTGACAATCTCATCTTCTTCCTGTGGGTTCTTGACATCTTATGATAAACATCTCTTTCTGTGAACACCTGGAAAAGCTACAGAAGGGTCTGAGTGATTCATACATCTTCACCTGAGCTTACCACTTAGGTTCATTCATGTCTGTGCCAAAGTCATGCACTGGTAGGTGAATAACAAAATTACCACATCTTATAGACAAAATGAGGTAAAGACGAAGGATATGAGCCCTGCTATTCCAAACGTTCTTAAAAAAAAAGGCAAGTTACAGAGTGAATGTAGCCAAAAATAAGAAAATAGAAAATGTTAGGAAATTGCTTCATGTTCAGGGAATGGGTGACCACGTTCCTCTGCCTCTGAAGACCTGTATGGTTAAAACCCACCCCCAGCCTGTGTGACCATCCCCATGTAGAAATGTAAAATAAGCAAGCAAGATGATCACAAAGCCAACAACTAAATAGCAGAGAGACAAAGTTGTAAACCATCCCAAAGCTGGATAATGGAGTTTACGTATGTGGGACTTTACATCATGTGAAGGATCTGATCTTTCCATGGATAGAGTTGGAAAACACTGTTAATCCAATTTGTTTTAAACAGTCATTCAACGAATATTTATCGAGTACTTACTATGTACCAGGCACTGAGAACACAACACTAAGTAAGACAGTCTCTGTCTGCAAGGAAATTCTGGACTAAAAGGGGAAGAGGTAACTAAACAAGCTGTTCACATACCACGTAATGAGTGCTGGCATAGGGAAACAGGAGTGCTGGAGAGCACAGACAGGGCATTCGAGCTGAGCTTTGGGATGAAAGAAAGCTTCCTACATGAAGGGTCATCTCTGCTCAAGTGAAACCTGCAAGTCAGTAGGACTTAGCCAGGTGAGAAAGGAGAAAAGCACTTCCTTGCCTAGGAAATAAATAGCATGTGCAGGGGCTCAGAGGTATGTAGGGAACAGGACTGACCAGGTTGGAGATGAAGGGTTAGCAGGGGTGAGGCTGGCAAGGTGGCTGCCATCCCCAGGAAGAGCCTCATTTTCCATGATAAGATATGTAGACATGCCCAAGGGTGGCAGAGAAGCCTTGAAGGAACACCATGGTCAGGTTGAGATGTGGCACCCACCTCTGATACAGGGTAGGAAGAGCCTGGGCAGAGCTGATTGGGAGACGCTGGTGCCATTCAGACAAGAGAGGGAGGTTGACCCAGGCGTGCGGGCCTCTCTGGTCTCCTCCCTTCATCTTTTTTCTCCATTTCTATTCCCAGCAACAAGCCAATCTGATCCCAGGGTTGAACCTCAGCGCACTTGGCATCTTTTCAACAGGACTGTCCGTGCTATCTCCACCAGCAGGGCCCCGCGGAGCTCCCCCCGCTGCCCCCTACCACCCCTTCGCTGTAAGTAGCTCAGCTTGTGGAGGTTTGCTTATGCGCTGGGCACCTCCAGGCAGCAGCATGACTCTGCTATGTGGAATCAGAACGGAAGCTTTCATTTAAAGGCCATGCTCGAGTAGAGATGAATCCAATGTAGGTTGAACTCAACATTTCTTAGGACTTCTTCCTAATGGGCAACTAACTTAATATTAAACCATCCTCTAAACACATGTTCTTAAATATAGTATGTCACAACTAGCAAAGAAAGAAACTCACAGCAAATTCATCAACTAGAAGCTAATTTATTATAAAAAAAGGACTTGTTAGCTCAAATAAGAACATTTCTTGAGTGTTGGTCATTTGTTAAAGTATATAGGGTACCTGGATGATTCTTAGAGAGATATATATCTACATACATACATGTGCAGCTTCTACCTATGTTTACAAGTCAAATGTATTGTTTATTAATAGGCAATTTTTAAAAGAAAATATTACATACATTGTTTATATCTAAACACTTAGCACAATGCCTGGTATTTAGTAAGTTCTCAATAAGTATTTGTTCACAACAGAAGAAATGTGAATTTTATGAGTGTTTTACTTACTGTTTTCATTCACAAGCATTATTCAAGATTAATGCATTATCAAATTGGGGCTCAGGATGCTTGACAGCTTTTTTGATTCCTAATTTTTCTCTACACAGACTGCTTATTTTTAAAGCAAACTTTCTTTCCCCCAATGTTTATGCTGTTTAAATGGGAAGAATTGGGTGGGTGAACATTGCCTCAGCCATTCCGTTCTTTTGAGAAGTGCTTTCTGGGGTAGGCTTCCCATTGTGTGAATTCCCAGTCGTTTTTTGGGTTATCAGTAGAGAGACAGGATGAATCCCCTGTGTCATCCTGCCAACAAAATGCAGTCACACACTGACACCCACATCCTCAGTCACATATATGCACACATTCTGCATTCCTGCTTATATATGACTCTTCTGAGTCTTTTTTTTTTTTTTTTTGAGGTGGAGTCTTGCTCTGCCGCTAGGCTGGAGTGCAATGGCACAATCTTGGCTCACTGCAACCTCCGCCCCTGGGTTCAAGTGATTCTTGTGCCTCAGCCTCCCAAGTAGCTGGGATTACAGGCACGTACCACCACACCCACCTAATTTTAGTAGAGAAGGGGTTTCACCACGTTGGCCAGGATGGTCTCGATCTCCTGACCTTGTGATCTGTCTGCCTCAGCCTCCCAAAGTGCTGGGATTACAGGTGCCTGGCACCCTGAGTTATTTCTAAATCTCTCCATACCACCTCTTTAGTTAAATCCATTTCCCCTTAAACTGAAGGAGGGGACTGACACTGAGCCTTGTGTGTTGAGCAGCCTAAAGATGCAGTACGAGGGATTGTGGCAGCTGTCAGTCACATGGCTGTGCCAAGCAGTAAGAATAGCTTGAGAGTTTCACATCCCCATATTTTTGCTGTCAGATCTGAGAATGGCCCAGTGAGTTACAATTAAGTGGCATTGAGGCACGTATCATTTCTTGGGAGAGAGGCTGTACATACAGCCCCACAGAAGATAACCTCAAACGTTAGGCTACCCTCTCAGTATAGGTAATATAAGTGGGGAGAGGAAAAGAGCATAATAAATTAGACCAATTCTAAAATTGGTAATCTAGGCCAGGCATGATGGCTCACGCCTGTAATCCCAGCACTTTGGGAGGCTGAGGTAGGCAGATCACCTGAGGTCAGGAGTTCAAGACCAACCTAGCCAGCATAGTGAAACGTCTTTACTAAAACTACAAAAGTTAGCCAGGTGTGGTGGTGCATGCCTGTAATCCCAGCTACTTGGGAGGCTGAGGCAAGGAGAATCACTTGAACCCGGGAGGTGGAGGTTGCGGTGAGCTGAGATCATGCCACTGCACTCCAGCCTGGGCGACAGTGTAAGACTTCGTCTCAAAAATAAATAAATTAAATTAAATTGGTAATCTCAAATATAGGAGTGAGCATGCTACAACCTGAGGACCAAATCTAGCTCACCATTTATTTTCATCAATAAAGGTTTTTAGGGAACACAGCCACGGTCGTTTATATACATATTATCTATTCCTGCTTTCCCCCTGTAGTGGCAGAGCTGAGTAGGTGCATACAGATCACATGAGCCACAAAGCCTAAAATATTTATGATTTGCTTCTTTACAGAAAAAGTTTGCTGACCCCTGAACTAAATTTAACAAGGAGATAATTTTTCTTTTGATAGCAGAATATTTCTAAACTTGAAAATAGGTTTTGCCAGTTGGAAAGCTTCCTTTGCATCTCAGATTTTTACTAAAATAGTAGAATAACCATTTTGCTAAAATATGTGGTTCCTGTTATTCATAAAATAGGTTTTAAATTAAAAATTGTTAAACTAAAAACAAAACAAAAACAACCAGGTAATTCGGATCTTGATCCCATGGGTCAATATTAGAGTAGATTCTAATCCAGTTGCCCTGACTGTCTGAGACATGATGGCTTCTACAGACATCTCCTTCATGCAGCTGCAGAAGTGCAGGTCCAACAGCATGGAGACGCCCTCACTGCCCAACTGTGCAGGACCTAGGCTATTCCTGGAGCAATACCTGGGAAGTCCACACCACAGGCTTGTAGGCTTCCCTGGTGGGCCCAGGACTCCTGAGAACAGCAGCATAGGGTGGTGGAGACACTTTAAATACTGACAGTGTTGTTTTCCTGTCACATAGGCATTCAGATTTCAAGGAACCAAGATATTTCTTGGTTGCTTTTATATATCACAAAGCTCTAATACTTTTGCTTTTACCATCCAAAGGTCAGGGAGTCTGTGTCCCTCCTTATAACTGGCTCATCCACACCTAGGTTGGTCTCCAAACTCTGGAATTTTTAATACATATGTGTGTATATGAAAACTTTACCACTTTTTTTTTTTTTTTTTACTGTTTTTCTGGTTATAAAAGTAATACGTGGATAGTATTTAAGAAGCAGGGAGTATGTACTTTTGAATTTTCAAAAAAAAAAAAAAAAAACACATTTCTCTGATCCTAAAAAAAAAAAAAAAAAAGAAAGCAGCAAATAATACAGAAATGCAGAAAGTGCAAGTTTTTTCTTAACCTAGACATAAGCAGTGTTTCTGTGTAGCTATGTGCATGTGTGTGTGTATATTTATACGTGATTTATAGTTTTTCCCCCAAATTTTCACTCTGGAATGGAAATCCTTGTGTGTATGCATCTTGATTCATTTATCCAATTATTTCCTCAGAATAATTTCCTGGAAATAGAATCAAAGAATGTGTTCATTTTCTATGCTGATACATAGTACCCAATTTTGATACAAAAAAGGTATATTACTTTTCATTCCCATCAAGAGTGTGTGTAACAGAGCAGGACTTTTTCTTCCACACCAGCACTCCCAATTATTCCTCACAGTCTGATATTTTAAAATACGCGGTTTTTAAAATTATTATTATATGACTGAAAAATTTTGTATTGGCCATTTTTGTTCTCTCTGATAAGTTGCTTTCTGTATTTTTGGCCCCTCAGTCTATTGAGAAGTAATATAACTTAGGTTCTAGAGCAGACTGTGTGCATTTGAATTTCTACACTGTCACTTGCTGTTTTTAACTTTGAGCAAGTGACTTAAGCTCTTCAGATCTGGGAGAAATAATAGTACCTACATTAGGGGATGGTTATGAGGGTAATTAAGTCAGTTAAAACCTACATACAGTAACTGCTATGTAAATCATAGCTGCTATTATCATCATCTTTTTATTTCATCTTTTTCTTAATGATTCATCATAGCTAATTACATATTAAGGCTGCTAACCGCTTGTCATGTTGTAAATATTTTCAACAAATATTCTCTTTGCTTTATTTGTGGTGTCTTATGTCATAAATAATTATATGTATATATTATATATATGTTCATTTATAGTGAACAGTAGTTCATGGTTCAACTTAAAATGCCAACTTTGTCATACACAGAATTCCCACTTAACTATATATGTAGTTCACTCTCTCTCTCTCTCTCTCTCTCTCTATATATATATATATATATCTTGAATGAACTTCTGTTTGAAGTTAAATGTAAACATTTCCCTTTAGCCTTTCTTCTTTCAGCCAAATTTCACCCAATACCCTCTCCCTAGAAGTGTAGTAGTTATAAAAAAGTTTTCTCGGCATATATACAAACATATTATTAAAAAATACAAATGAAATTATGCTGTACACAGGGAATTACAACTTTTGTTTTTACATATTATGGGCATCTTTCCATAGCTAGACCTAGTTTTATTTAATGGCTGCATAATATTCCATTAAATGAGTTTATCATCATTTTTGTAACCAGCACACTAGTTTTACACATTTGGGTTGATTCCAAGTTATTAGTATTACAGACAATGTCAAAATCAGTATCTTTACAGGCATATCTTGAAGATACTGTGGATTCATTTCCAGGCCTCCATAGTAAAGTGAATAACATGATAAAACAAGTTACACTTTTTTTTTGTTTGTTTCCCAGTTCATATAAAAGTTGTGTTTACACTATACTGTGGTCTGTTAAGTGTGCAATAGCATTATGTCTGAGAAGACAACAATATCCATGCCTTAATTTAAAAATATTGCTTAAAAATGCAGACACAGAAACACAAAGTGAGCATGTACCGTTGGAGAAATGATACCAATAGACTTGTGTGACATAGGGTTGCCACCAGCCTTCCAGTTTGTAAAAAACACGATTATCTGCAAGGTGCAATAAAGCCAAACACAATACAGTGAGGTGTGCCTCTACATAAATCTTTGCACAAGTGTGTGAGTATGTATATCTGAAAGTAAATTCTCTAAGACTGGAATTATTATTTCAAAGCGTATATGTATTTTAAATATTCACAGATTTCTCTCCACCAGAATTCATGCAGAAAACTTAAAAATTAAGGTAGTAAAATGATTGATATTTTCCTTTTCAGTTTCTGACCTTTGACGTCATGCTAAGGAAAAAAGCCTTCTCCCATCCAAGACTGCAAAA